GTCTGTACCACATGTAGCAGAGTAGCATAGCAGTGAAGCGATAAGACTACAAAGTTTTTCTTCATTGTGGCCAACCACTGTAAATATGACACATCAATCCACTGCTGTGAAAAAAAAGAAAGACTTGACTGTCAGTCTGTTGAAATCTGTTATTTCTGGATCTATTGCTCAGCCACACCTCTGGAGTTTGTGATTGTATGATATTTTCTGTGGTAGTTTCGGTCTGGACCCAAAACTAAAAATCTGTATCGCCACTATCACTATCTCTTTTTGTAAACTGTATCTGCCAATTATTTCATCTTCTCTGAATCTTACTCACTGGAAGAAAGACTCCTACTTTTATTATTCCTGAAAGTGTAAATAGCCACACATTTATGGTTCAATAGTCATAATTACTGGTGAAAGTCTAGCCCCAGTGGTGACAAACACACAAAATGTTTCACATCCCATTAACCGTGACAGAGGGCTTCAATGCAACTCCCCACACAGAAAATTGAGAGTGGCACAATGGCTTTTATCTGGTCTTATCAATGCCTGTAACACTATGGGACGCTAATGGCGGGGTCTTTAATCCAATCTGTCTGACAACTGAGATTGATTGGCTGACTGATGGCGCAGAGGACGCTCATGAGGGAGAATGGAGATCTCCAAAAAAATAAATAAATAAATAGAAAAACTGCCTGCAGCTGTCAGGAAATGATGTCACCGAGCGACTCCTAGAGCGAGCCCTAATGGCTGGGAGCTGCGGGTGAGTCTCTGTTTTGAAGAGTTTATCACATCAAAAAGCTTCTTTGCTACCTTTCACACTGAAGTTAGATAAACTACAAATTGAACCATAACATCATCGCCATAATAAGATTATAAGAGCGGCTAACGTGCCTTTAAACAAAGAAAAAAAAAGTCCCACAAATGTGTCTCTGATCACCATTTTCACAACAATCCAAGAACAGAGCTGTTTTCTGAAAGCTACATGATGATGTAATTGCTTTTTTTTAAGTTTATCTCCATCTCCACCCTCCCGAACCAGTTCCCACTAACACACACTGCAACATATTCCTGCAGGGTCAGAGAGGGGTGTTTTCTGAAGATGAAAGAGAAAGCACAAGAGACGCCGTTTGAGCGAGAAAAACAGACAAAGTGGGAGAGGAGACAGAGGGAGATAGGAGTACCTCTGGCGAGAAAGCAAAGAGGGGGAAGGGAGAGGAAAAAGATGGAAAAACTAATGGACTGAGCAGAGGGAAATATTATATGCGAGCAGAAAATTAGTGCCACATACACACAAAACAAGAAAAATCTGCTCACCTTAACACCGTGGCCGACATCATCCAGTAGAGTATAGTCAATTGGCTTCCTGATGTACCTGACTGGCCGCTCCATATTGGCCGGCGCTATGATCTTATGAGTCCTTGCTGTGTTCTTGTTAGTGGTCAGGATCCCGATCTCTCGCCTGGCCACCTTCTCTTTATGGATGTCCACCGTCTGTAAATGAGAGAAGTGAAGATGTGTGTCACACAGAAAACTTAACAAGGTTTAATTAAATAATGAGGCTGTGCTTTTCATCAGTGGGGCCTTAATCTAAATCTAACACGGCAATTCAGCATATTAGTGAGGTAAAAGCACACAGACACTAAGCAAAGATGACTTACTGTTGCAAGAGCTGTTGGAGCGATCGCACAAATCTCTCACAAGAAGAATGAACTGAAATTTACTACATATTTAAATCCTGTTTTCACAATTTTGACTTTTTCAGAGAAGCGTGTCCTTCCAATATGCTTTGCAAGGATCAAATGCTTCATTTATGCCTCTGGTGGCTGCTTTTCTCCTGAAACTGACCCATTGTTTCATTTATCGGTAACACTCCTATACAGCTGTTTCCAAATGACATGACAAATTTGGATTTCTTAATACACTTTATCATGTATTACTAAATTTGGGCAGAGGACTATCGCTTGTGCACACGAAGCAAGCACCAACTTCCAGAGACTTCCAGAACTAGACTTTCAGAGAGTCAGAAATGACATTGTCAGGAGTTCAGATCTGCTTTTTCTCTCTTCTATGGAAAATGACAACAACACGGAGGTGCCAATAGCAGCTGGTGGGTGGCACCTGTGGTTGCAAAAAAAGACGTCTACTGGAAAACAGCCCTGAGTGATGACCTTTGTAAACACTTTCTTAATAAGTTTATGGGCCCGCTCACTTATTTCTGGTCATATTCTATTCTTTCCAAGCATCATAAATAAGGAATATCAAGGGCATGTTAGATGCCAACGAACCCAAGATTTATGCAGATTTGTTGAAGACTGAGTTTCTGTACTGATGATGTATCAGTGCAGATTCACAGATTATACTGAGGGAGATGATGCAACAGCTTGGAAAGATGAGACCACATCATTATAGCTATACACCAGCGCTTTATTCATTTTATTATTCCTCAGACACTCAGAACTTTATTTAGGTTTAAAATTAGAGGCTGAAACAGGGGTAAGTCGCCTTTTACTGTGTTTGTGATCACTGATAATGCACTGATCTAACAAATAACAAGGTTTGCCTAACAGCTCATCCATAAAAGCATTTGTTCCAGTTTTTGCGAGTCCAGTTCGAGTATTTTACTTGATTGTTACTTAGCACTATGTAGAAGGTAGCTGTGTCTAACAATGGTGCTTCAAACAGGGCTTCACAAACCTTAATATAATCTGTGCTTGTCTATGACACATTCGTGTATTTTTTGGTGTTTGTTTTGTGGCCTTTAATGTTTATCCACACGGCTATAACCTCACAAGTACTCACTACACAACCAAACAGGGAACGCCTCCCATCAAGCCAAAAGGAGCCCAGGAGCAGCTGCTGCTGTTGCAATGGGAGATGAAAGGCCGCAATGTCTGCAGAGGCCAGACCAGGAAAACGGTGGTCTCTCGTGGAGGGGAAGGAGTCAGAAACCAGCGCCAACAGAGGATTCCTTTCATGCCACAGTGATCTGAGGCTGGACTGAGCTTTGTTTCTTTATTCTGCACTGCTCCACTGTATGTACAGACTTAGCCCTCAAGTATCATTCATCCCAGAGTTGAGGGAATTAGTAACACTCAGGATGGCTTATATGTAGCCCAGCACAGCACAATCACGCCAACAACATCTCTCTTTTTCCCCTCTCTCTGGGTAACATCAAATCTAATTTTAAACTATGACACTAATGAGATATTCGCCTGAGAACTGGCAACAAACTCTAATATCTATTAAGACTGACGCATAGCAGGTTCCTGCAGGACATGCGGGGGTATTAAAAAAGCGGATTGTTCACAATTGCAGAAAAAAAAAAGAGCAATCAATATTTTATAAGAGCCAAAGATATTCTTGCATAATTGCTCCCTAAGAGACTTTCCATGCAAAGAAGGAGCGTCCGTTCTGCTCCAGTGCCCTGTAGGGTATATTTGAATTAAGAGATATGACAGAGTGCTGATTACAGTCATCTTTTTTAACCTGAGACAAGCTGCCAGGATACAAGAGGCTCTTGACATAAAACGAACTGTAGTGACAATATCTTCCCTGTGCTGCGAACAAACCAATGCACAATTTAGTGGATAAGAGCCCCATTATGATGGGATTTGAGCCAATAGCTTTGACTCCACATGCAGCTCAGAGATAACTCCCAAATTGTCATATATCATGATCATCTGAAAGCAACTGGGCCAAAATCAAATCAGCCCATTTGGCTTCCATTTGCAGGGGATGTGATGGAGCTCAGTGATCGGCTGAGATGGAACAAGGCAGAAAGAGGGGAAAAAGGAGGACGAGGGAATGGGCTCAGTCAATCTAGACCTGGTTTTACTTCGAAAACAAAGCTTTGCTCACATTTCACCACGGATTCTAAAGAAAACTGAAGTCCTAGCCGTTGCACGCTCTCATAAGATTCTATGAGGAAGTAGACAAAACATGAAAAGTTCACTTGAAACTGGAAAGAACAGTTGTTGAAATGCAGCAGCTAAACTGGGAAAGCATCTGTTCTTGGCTGTACATACTCTCCCCATATCAGAGAACAGCGTTCGGACAAACGTCATCGCAGCTGGCAGGGACAGGAAGCAGTGTAGCGAGTTCATCTCTATCCTGTACAAGCCCTGCTGCAGCAGTGCAGAGCCCTGATGTTACACAAGTGTTGACAGAAGGTAAATCTGAAACCAACTTGTTTAGCAAACTTCCACACAGCAAGCAGCAGCACCCCGTGGATATCGCATTGCTAATCCACTGTCCAAAGAACATTAAATAGATCTGACAAAAAGGTCTAAGTATGACAGTGCATTCTGGCTTCACCCCATCAGACTCACCCAGCAGGGAACCCAAATCTCAGCAACTGCGACTTAACAGCCCATCTCTTCCCTCGACTGAGCGGGGAAACGCTTTTCCTGACTTTTCAACTGGCACTAAAAGGGTGTTTACTCGATCCCAAAGGTCCATCTGCTGGGTGGAAAACGTCTTGCCAAACTGAAAGGTGCATGATTCACATGTGCTCTCAACCACTGCCACCCATATGTCTCAGGCCTATGGCTGTTTTCCCAAAACACTGAGCAGTTTTGGCTCTGGTGTTTGGCTTATCCATCATCTAAGGGCTTTTAGGACTTTAAAGTGCCCCCCACTTCGTTGTCTGCTTTTATTGAACTGCTCTTTTCATTTGTCACCTTGGAGTCCTCTTTTTTCAGCATCCTTTTATTTTTCCCCCCCCCTCTCTTTTTTAACCCTGTAGTTCTTCCCACACCCAGAGGAGTCACCCATTTATGACTAGTGCAGGGATTTAGGTCATAAATTGGAGCTACTGCCAACATCATCAGCGTCATTCACATTCAGTCAAGAATGCTTTAGACTTGGAGACTTTTTCCCCATTTTGGAATATGAGGGAGTCAGTGCAGTGCTTGCCACAATGAGAAATTCTTGTTGTGTTGTTAGTAGCAACCAGTGGCTAAATATTTAGGATTTATTTATTTTGAAGCCAGATTGTTACCGTTTTGGTAGAGGCTGTGCCAGGTTTTCATTGCTAAGCAGCAAAATTGGTCGCAAAGAGGTATATGGATAGCTGTGACCTTTGAGATGTATCGATTGCAGTGTTAAGGCACAATTTTTACTTAGAAAGGGAAACCAAGGGTTTCCATTTCCAGTTTACATCGCACATTTACAGCTTCATGACCGTTTGGTGAGCAGTTGGTAAGTGTTTGCAGACAAGTCAGTCCTTCCATGCAAACTATGGACGCCCATGGCAATCTGCTACTAACCAAAGCAATTGCACAGAGGTTTTTGATGTAGTACAATCTTTATGTCCAATTTCACTTAGCAACTGGTCAACAACTGACACAAAAATTATAAGTCTACTAATAAAACCCGAGGCCCCATAATTTAAACACCCACTGTAGGACTCCTCCTCTAATTTAAAAACAATACCCAACTTTGAGAACACATCGCTTTCTGGTCTTCAAATCTAAGTCGACCCCTGCTTTCAATGAATTCTTATTGCCTCTGTCAGGCCAGTGCAGCCCACTGCTCAGATAAGGGGGAAGGCTGGACTACTTGGGAAAGGAGGTCATACATTGACAGAATGTATCCACACGAGATCAGCAGAAGGGGCATAAATCTCTGAGTGAAGTGGGAACGGCCAAGCAAAGGTCTAGGGTTGGAATTTCAAAATCTTGAACAAACGTAACTTGACAACTTCCCACCACACAAGCACACAGCGTTTTGGCGAGCGAGTTGAGCAGCGACTTAAAACAACTATAAACGTGTACACTTTATCTGGAATTGAGACAGTTGCTTTCCCTTCGACACGTACTGGAAAGAGAAGAAAAAAGCCTTTTCAGCACTTTGGCAGACTGGCCGCAGGATGATATCCTCGGTAAAACGCCAACTATGCACAAACGCACGGACAAACAAAAAGCTTCCCAGCATGTACTGTAGGCATAGTAAGGATGAGCTGGGCACTTACACTCAGCATGGGGAAAAACCTACAACTAGACAAACACACCCTACATACCGATGTTTCTGTGTGTGGCTTGCCAGACCAGACAAATGTGTCAATAGTTAATAACAGACTTCAGCTACAGATAATTATAAGATCTGAATAAAATGGTTCAGCAAACTGACGAGAGAAGAGAATATCTATGTTCTTAAGTCCATGAGAGCTATTTTTACCACCATAAATCAGGACTACATGATGATGTCCAGACATTGGAGTTCCTTGTTGTACTGTGCGATTACGCCGTTCACTCAAACATCCGAACCTCAATTTCAGCCTTGCTGCAGATTATGGAGTGAGGTGAAGACAGCCTAATCAGGTCATCTCTTCTTTTCAGCCTTACATCTCCAGTAAATCTTGTCCATGTGCAAATACACTCTCTCAGCAAAGCACTTTTCCCGGCCCACAAAGAGCAGATTTGAACAATTTGCAATGCTCGGTGTGTTCAAGCAGCTATCTCATGATGAAGTCCTTTCCTGCTTCTAGGTCT